CTAACAACAGAGAAGGCTGTCCCCAATCCATCAAACGCGTGTGACGCAAGCACTGAAAGGTACAAGATGCATCACCCCCTTAAGCGCGTCATTGCTTAGAGCAAACAGTGAGCTTTCGTCACTAACTCACGGGCCCAGCTTGACACACACCATCTCTTGACCTTTTTTGCAATTTTGATACATTTATTTAATGAACCATAAAAAGACAGATTCTATCTTTAATAAAGATAGCAGTAGGCTAGGTGCAATCCACTAATGGTTCAAGGCACTCTCACGGTGAAACAAGAGACAAGTGCCTCAGTGTCTAATGTTCTGAAAGACTTCTGAGGCTTCCAATGGTAATAGCTTGTGTCTCCCTTTCTGCCCCCTCCCCCCTCCTATACCTCCACTTGCAGAGAAAGAAAAAACAAGGTATGCAGATGTCAAAGATTTATAAAACAAACACACCCCAAATCCCAAAAACCCCACAAACTTAGAAATCTGACATTCTTGCTTGACTTAAATACTATTTCTAGTGTAATTATGTTTATGAAGCAATAAAAGGAAAGTAAAGCAGGGTAGTGAGGGAGTGCAAAGTGCCATAAATCCAACACGGATTGTCAAATTCCTTATGACAGAGACAGAAATGCAGGACTGTGCGTAGAATAGCCTTATACTGCTTGAACAGGCTCTATTCAGACAATCAGGAGTTGATCAGACTCTGCCTCTGCAAAAATCCCCCTTTATTTTCTGCAAGGATAAGAGGGAAGTGTGGAGGCTGCAATTCTGCTATCAGGCCATTACTGATGGGAGGAAAAAAAATCTAAGCATTAAATTAACAGCTGACTCAGCAAAAGTAATAGGCCAGTTTCTGCTGTCGGGCTTTTATGAGACAAGCCATGCCTATAGGCCCAATCCAATTCCCATGGAATTGATCAGATTCTGCCTCTGCAAAAATCCCCCTTCATTTTCTGCAAGGATAACAGGGATGTGTGGAGGCTGCAGTTCTGCTATCAGGCCCTTACTGATGGGAGGAAAAAAAAATCTAAGCATTAAATTAACAGCTGACTCAGCAAAAGTAATAGGCCAGTTTCTGCTGTCGGGCTTTTATGAGACAAGCCATGCCTATAGGCCCAATCCAATTCCCATGGAATGTGAACTGCGGCACAAGTGTGTTTGCAACTGCTGGCTGATTATTCTCCCCCTTTAGAAGTTGTTTTCCTAAAATTAATTGTAATTTTTTTAATCCATCTACAACTTGCTGTAGGCTCTGTTCATAACACCGAATTTGTGCAATCACCAATTACAATATTGATTTTCTATTGTTACATTCACTAACAAGACAAATAGATATAACTTTTTAAGTCTTATTTAAATAATACCATAATGCAGGAGATTTCTAGGAATGTCAATAAAACTAGCAATATTTCACTAAATACATATCCATTTTACATTCACTAGAGAAAGTGAAACTTAAAAATATTTGAGTGTGTTCTCAGAAGGAAGGGAAGATACTAGTGAGTACTTGTACCTGAAAAGCCTAAAAATTGGAGGGCATAATAGAACATATACATGTATGTACACACACATACACACACAAGCACAGACACAAGAAAGAATCTGACTTTGGTAGCAGGGAACATAGCCAGAACTAATTAACACTGCTTCTTGGGTGCTCCTATTCTTCCTTACGGTTTCTCATATAACATGCAAATATGCAGTGTCCTGAATCCACAGGGTCCTCCTGTTTAGAAGATTCAGGAAATAAAGGTTTAATTCCTGTCCTGAAAAACTGTTCTAAAATAACACGTACAGTCTGAATCTGTCAGCAACCACTAAGATATCTCACCAGCTTTTCCCAAATACAAAGGCTACACTCATTAATGGAGGTGACCAAGAACTCCCTTGCATGTTTTCATTAGCTTCTGAATCACGAGGTCTTCATCCTTCACACGAGGTTTTCCCTTTGCTACAAGGTACATCTGTAACCCTGACACATTCCAAACCCCTTTCATCTTCCTGTCAACTAAGCAGGAAGCTAAGGTCTCTGAGAAAAAGAATTTGCCAGAAAAAAAAAAGGCACACAAACATCGGAATAACTAAACAAGTCGTTTTTCAGGAGTCTTATTCTGATTATTGAATGATATCAGAATTCTGGCAGGGCTGCAGCAGGCTTACAGATGCTCAGCTATCTCTAATGGCATCAGGCATGGTGTCTTGTCTCTATTTATGCCAGAGGAAAAAAATGAATATATACTTCTTTCTTTAGAAAGTTTTGCAGAGCTAGCTAAAGCAGCTGTGTGTGCAGCCAGCTATACCTCAGCTGCTTTACCATTCTCAGGAGTGTCCGTGATAATTCACTACCAGATTGTGAGCAGAAAAGACGAGCCTCAAACTTGCTGCTAAGCAGCTCCTCTCTTCTCATGCCTCTTTTGCTTCCTTGCAGTTGCAAAGGCATCCTCTACCCACTGGCCAAACTGGGCAGTCACCTATTCTTTCAGATGTCTTAGCTCTTCTAGATTGACAGAAACAATCTGCTTTTTCCTGGTTCATTTTCTGGTGAATGAGCACATAGCCTTGTCTCAGGAAGAGGCTGGCTGAGGTGCCGCAGAGCAGGACAGAGCTACACGGGGAGTGGGATCAGTTCCTTTTAGGGGCAGGGGACTGCTGGATCACCGCAGGTTTCTATCAGCTCCTGGAGCCACCACAGTGCACAAACCTGCATCAGTTTCAGGCCCTTGGTCCATCACAAATATGAAGCTTGTTGCTTGCCCTTGTGTTAGCCCAAGCACAGCCAAGTCAGCCACGCTGCTGCAATAAGAGGTCAGCATGGCAAACCCCCAAACCTTTTTTAGAGATACTACTTCCCTGATTTTCCAGTGCAAGACAGAGACAGAACAGGTTATGATTCTTTTGAAAGTGCTGGTTTATCTACTTAAGAGTTAATTTTTCAACTGTATTTATACCTTAAAGAATTTCACTGCAAGTCACTAACCAGGTCAACTTCTTTTAAATATTCAATAATGCATCACATGTATCTTTTCAGACTTAAAATACCTTCGAAAATTTGACTTACTGTTCTACAGGGATTTTTTTTTACAATAAAGCCAGTTTGCAATTTGATATTTTATTTTGTAATGAAGTATTTGCCTCTTTAGAAACATATTTTACAGATGCATGGCATATTACTGTATTTTTAAAATTCTTTCTGCTCTTGTTCTGGAAATAAACCAGTGTGCAATTCTTCTGAGAAAGTGTAATAGAAAAGTTAAGAAGAATGGAATTATCATTTTATAGCCCCTTAATATTTTTTTCATATCCAGGCAAACTCCAAAGGGCATGAACTGAACTTACTTAGTATCCATTTAACTAAAGGTAGGGAAAAGTTCTTTGCTCTTGCAAATCTCCATAGTCTTTTTCAGAAGATTCCACCTTTTCAAATCAATCCCTTTCTCTTCCTTCTATTTAAAAAAATAAGCTGATACTGATAGAAATGCTAAAACATTTGACACACTGTAAACACCTAAAAACAGAAAGATAGGCTAGAAGTTGGGGTTTTTTTTCTGCCTGACAAAGTCTCCAATGTTTTCTTTGGCACTTTTTGGGGAGTTTGTTTTGATAATTTTAAGCCAGTTTCACATCTCCTCACAGATTCTAAAGGTCATGTTAAAATCTGCCTCAGCTAAATACCTTGTTTTCTTGAAGCCTGACTAGAAATTGGAATGTTATACTCGGGTGTTGCAATCAGAATCCTCCAAGGACGTCGCGACGTGGAGCTGAGAACTCTGGCCATTTAATTGCAGGAAAGTTCCTCCTGGAGAACATGGAGGATGTTTAAAATGCAGCAGAAATAAAGACAGCAGGGGACCTGCACAAGAAGCACTGAGAGCTCAAGACTATTTTCTCCTACCCTGCAATTATCTTGGATACTTAAAAAAAAGCCCGCTACTTGGACATGAATAGTTTTGCATTCTCGTCCCACTGAGAAGCTTTGAACAAAAGATTTCAGAAGCACCAGTGAAAAACATACAATAGAAAGCTCAGAAACAATAATCTTACATTTAAAACAAATTACAGACATATTTTCTGCCAAACAGCTCTTCACATTTACAAAGACCACAAACTGAAGTCCTTGTCATAGTGAGCTTTTGGAGGCTGGTTCTCTGAGAGTTCAAAATGATTACCCTCAGCAGTGTTTCTGCACATTTGCACATGTGAATCCATACGCACACTTGCAATAGTTTAATACTTTTTTAGTGTCTATGTTTGCGTGGAGTTAAGAGCAAATCCTACTGCAAGCAAAGGTACTAAGATGCATGTATTAAGTCATGTAAGTTGAGTCTGTACCAAATGAATTCTACAACTGTATAACTGACTGATGCTTCACATCACTGCTTGTAAAGAACAGATTAAAAGATGAAGTTCTCTAACTGAATGTCTACAGAATAAAGAGTGGTGTCTACTAGGTAGAGCAAGACAGATGGTAGGATTTGTCTGCAAGCAGAAAACCAGCAGAAAGGCATTACTCAGTTGAAGTTGCATTTGGAATACGCGCTGGCCACTGCGTTTTAGTTGGCAGTGCTAATTTATAAATTGATGTCATGGTTCAGTATTCTACTTCAAATCTGTGTGAATAACTGATTTTTCAGCTGCCCAGTCAAACTAATAAAAAAACAAAACCAATTCTCTCAGGTCAATCCAAACCGAAATTCCTTTTATTCATCCCATCACTATGAAAAGGAAGCAAAAAATTCACCATCTAATAAAACCTTAAGAAAGGACGATGTTACTTTTAGAAGTTAAACAGATAAAAACTTAAAGCCTCCAACTTTTCTTCTCAAATTCTTGCATTCTGAATATTACTTTCACAGGAAAGCTCTTCTGTGTCTCCATTTTAATCCAGAAACTCCCATGTAAAAGAGGTACCAGATTTTTTTTTTAAATCTAGTAAATCCATAACAAAAACAGGTCATTAAAGGCTTGACATGAGCCATTCATAGTGAATTATTCTTGAACATACTAGCTGTCTCTTATATAAATAATAATAAAATCACTAGATAAATGGAAGAAACAGTTGAGTAGATATTTCTATGTTTAGTTACCACGATCCACAAATCATTACCAACTGTTGTGTTACTACATAACAAAGATAAGGATTAAACCTGTATTTGGAAGACAACATAAGAGCAAACAGAAAAGTACTGATTATTTAATCTAATTTATGTTACTATTTCTTTTACAAATAAAGCTAAGCTTCTATCTATGTATGCTGTCTACAAATACTCAAGACCCCTTCCCTGGTCCCTGAAAAATGGTGTGAGTTACTCAGATCACAATGTACAAACATTTCCTGACTGGCACTTTAGGAAATACCCAGGAATAAATCAACCAAGACAAACCACTGAAAGTGAAGGAATGCAAAAGCATTAAAATGACACATTAAAAGAATTCTCCCAAATTACCTATGGTTCACAGAGGTGCCACATATAAAATTTAAGATTTGAAGCCTTTAAGTTGTATAAATAGTAAGTAGCATTACTGATACTATCATCACTGGAAGTGAAGAATTTTGCATATCTTAAGTAATTTTGATACCTTACTCCACCTGAAGAAGGAAGACAGATCAGACTGTACAGAAATAGGAGAAACGTACTCAGTAAAAAGTTCATCAGATAAAGTGCACAAGAGAATTAGCAGATTGAGTGCTAAAAAAAGTTATATAGCTGGTCCTTTTAGGTTGATGTGCCTCTGCTGCATGTGCATGAAGTTCCTTCCTCAGCACAAAAAAGAACTAAATCCTGTCTAGATGTTACTGCAATGTAAGCTAAAAAATAAATACTTCATACCTGGAGTATCTCACTGTTTTTATTAGCACTTTTCTTCTCGTTGCTTCCTTCAATCACTTAAAATCCACTATTACCTTGTACCGTGACCACATCAGGACCTAGAGGCTAATTCTGAAGAGCAGTTGGAGACTGCGCACAGCAATGCACTGTAATTACCAACGCTCTGTAATTACCATCATTCTCCTCTAAGCATGGAACAGGTGACTTCCGGAGAAGATTTTCCAGCTGTGTGCAGGTATTTCAAATGTGGTGCAAAACAAAACCCTTCTCTCTCATGTTAGCTAAAGATTTCAGATCAGTTAATCTGCACAGTACTTGTGTTTTGGTTTTGGGAGAGGGCTGTTGCTCTTCTTGCCGCCTTGTTTGTTTGTTTGCTTTTCAGAGTACTGACCCTGCCAGGATATTTCAAATTTGTTGCATTTACAAGGATGTACAAACATAACACACACTTAATTTCAGCTCTGCTTTCTGAAAAGAGGACTCTCCTTTGGTCCTCAACAGAGCACAATGTGATGTCTTCTTAGGGATACGTGTAACTCCATAGGCTGAATAACTGAAGGCAGCAATACCTCACCTTTTTCACAAATACAAAAATAGTCAACTCCCACCCTTGTTCATGCAGAAACATCCCTCAGAGCTTATGCCCTCTGGTTTCTTTCAGTCTTTCTAAAGGTCACAGTCTGACATTTCAACAGTGTTAGAAGTCATTGTCTTCCTTTCTATATGTGCATCCCTGCTTAAGCGTTACTCCCCTCTAGACACAAGGCCCAAAGCGACAAATTACTTCTTTGGAAGAAGACTAGATCTGGTAACTGCACTTGGAGACTGATTAAAAAATAAGTCAAGGCAGCTCGGCTGAAATAATGCTAGGGAGAAAGGGGTTATGCACAAAACCGGCAACCCACATGAAACATGAAATTAAAACAGATGCATCTTTTTTTCCCCCACCTAAGCTGAAAAAGAAAACAAAAGGCAAAAGACAGTCTCATTCATAAACCAGAGCAGTTCAGCTCTTTTCTATAATAACAAAGGGTA